TGTGGTGTGTCTGTAAGGTTTTTCCTTTTTGCTCACCTCTCCTGAGAAGGAGTGCACAGTGGAGTGGTTGCTAATTTGATTGGACATGATGGTGATGAAACGAAACGCTAGGCCTCCTGGACCAGAATCTCCAGGGCTGGGACTTAGGAACCTGTATCTTGAACAAGCTCCTTGGTGATTCTGGCTTGGGAGACCTTGGTGTACATTGGCCATCTTGACTCCTCCCATCCTGTGTGGATATTGACGCCATCAGTGCCTCTTTGGAAGTTCCCTTTGCTTACTCTCTGGCTCAAGAGGACCAGTCTTGCCTTCCTGTGTAGACCACTTAGCTCAGTGCCCTCTTGTCTGTGATATCTACCTCGCCTCCCCCCTCCTCTGCAAAGGCTACTGTTAATAGCAGCAGTGGGCTCTACATAGGAAGAGGGGCTGTCCTGAGAAATTCCTAACAGAAGAGTGTGAAGCCAAGGTGAAGCAAATATTCTATCTTCAGGATCTTGTGAAAATGAGGGTGCCTCCAAGTAGTCCTAAAAGGTGTGGTATTATCTGGTAATTATTTTGGTTTTTACTTGGTTTTCTTTTTATTGTTGTTATTGTGGTTTTGGGGGGGGCGTCTAAAAACTCCTTTATCCAGGTGGTGATATTTTATATGTTCTGTTTTCAAATGCCAGGATTCATTCCCCCCGCCTCTGATTTCTGTCCCAGGCCCTACAAACAACTAATCCCCTCTAAATAGAACAAAAATAAGCTCAAGAGTGTAAAAACGATGGTGACTGACTTATATCTGCTGCCTACAAGTATTCAGATAGGCACTAAAATTTATAGTTTGTGTTAAAATTCATCTTATGCAAGTATGACCCCTTTCATTGCTTGACTCTTCTCATGCTTCATAGGGAGAAAAGATGTTTTAAAAGTACCTGGTGTATTGGTCAACAGGCTGAGCTGTTGTTGTGTTTTGTTTTGTTTTTTTAAGTAGGCTCACACTCATGACTGTGAGATCAAGACCCGAGCCAAGATCGAGAGTCTGACACTTAACCGGCTGAGCCACCCAGGTGCCCCTGAGCTGTTGTTTCTTGAACTGGGATATTCCAGGATTCTAAGAGAAAGTCAAAACTTGATTGACCAGGATGTTCAGGGATGGGACGGGATCCTGGTGAACCGATTTGAAGCAGACAGTCAATCCATTTGTCTTACCCCTTGCTGAAATCTTTCTAAAATTATATGTTAACCCATATAACTGTCTTAGTAATGTTAAGGATAATTTTCAGAAAAAGGTAAAATCATGAGTCTTGTACAGATATAAAAATGAACATGTGTTAAAGATTTTATTTTACTCTTTAATCAACAAGGGAACCAGACAGATGTTAGAGCCGGTTCAAAGAAAAAGTCCAAAAGCACAAATATATATGGAGTAAAGGAATTGAATTGCAAATGGAGGCAAAACTGGTTTTTTCCACAGTGGGGAGGGAAGTCAATCCAAACTCTATGGGACAAGACAGAGTTTGCATACCCATCAGTTATCTGCAATTGACAGCGGTGCAAACTAGCTCGGAGACAATGAGCTCTGCTGGAATGGGCAGCTGTGAAGGGTGTGCTGCGGGCAGCGCGTGGTGCTTTCTTTTCTATCGTAACTAAGCCTGGTGGGCACTTCTGGGGGGGGTTGATTTGGCTTCTTGCAATCGCTCAGGGGCATCACCTCAACCTCTCACCCAGGATTCAGTTCCATAGAACACTCATTTACTGAGTACTTATTATCTCTAAGACATCGTAGAGGAACCAGACACCAAAAAGACGGTATTTCTCACCTTAAGTAGCTTGATTGGTGGGGGAGACGGACATGCCACAGCCCCAGCTAGCCACACTGCGGAGAAGAGTAAGAACCTGTGCTGTGGGAGAGGTAGGGAGAGGTAGGGATGAAACATTTGAGGAGAGCCAGAGACGGAAGAGTTAACTGATCAGGGGCTGGGGAGATGACATGATGACATTTAAGCCAGGCTTTGAGGGGTGACAGAGAGAGGAGGAGGGGCACAGGAGAGGCCATTTCAGGGTGAGGAAACAGCAAAGTCCTGAAAGTGGATGATCTGTTCAGGGAAGGGTCAGGAGCTGGGATGGCAGAGGCCACAAGGAAATAGCAGGATGTGGCCAAAGAGGAGGCCAGAGGAGGTTTGAGGCCGGGTCAGGGAGGGCCCAGAATGCTGTGCTAAGAAATTTGGGCTTGATTCTGAAGACAGGAAAGCTACTGAAAGCTTTTGGTGGCGGGGGGGGGGCGCGATGTGATCGAATTGGTGCTTTAGAAGATGAATTGATTGTAAAATCAAGAAATTGGAGGCAGAGGGACCAGTTAAGAGGCTATTGTAATATTCTGGGTGAGAGATGATGAGGGCCTGCATCAGGGTGGTGGCAAGAGGGGCAGAAGGACTCCTGATTGGCTGTGGGCGGCGATGTTGGGGGGGTGGAAAGAAGGAGTTGAAGACGACACCGCTGAAATTTCCAGGCGGGGGGGGGGGATAGTGGTGCCATTAACTAAGATAGGAAACACACTGGGCGTGGGGGGGTGGGGAGCAGGTTTATGGGAACAGATAATGAGTTCGGTTTGAGACACATTGAGTTTGAGGGGCTTGGTGGACATCCAATTAACAGTGAGTTGCTGGCAGCTGGAAATTCTGGTCTGGGTTTGAGGAGAGAGGTCAGGTCTAGAGATACAGATTTGGGAGTCTTTGGTGCGGGAAGGGGAGAGTTGTAACTGGGGGAGCTCTGGAGCTGGAGAGAAGGAAGAGCAGGGTTCACACGCCCCCGCCACACACACCGAGAGAGGTGGGGTAGGGGAGAGCCGACGAGAGCCAGACTGAGCTAGGGAGCCAGAAAGAGACAGAAGGAGGGCAAGAGAGACAGAGGGAGACAGAAAGACAAGAGAGGGAGACTGACGGCTGAGGTGAGGACGAAGACTAGAGGGGAGGGGGACACGAAGGGAAGCAGGAGGAAGAGAAGGAAGAGATGAAGGGAGCCGGAGGGAAACCGAGGCTGGGGGAAAGGACGAGGGCAGGAGAGGTGGGAGGGGGAGGAAGGTGGAGGAGCGCAGACTGTGCCAAGAGAGATGGGAGAGAGGGAGAGGGAAGCAAGGAAGAGGGGAAGAGAGAGACAGCTGGGAGAATGATAGGGGGCCGAGGGAGGTGAGGAGGAGGAGTAGAGGGGAATAGGAAAGAGCAATTGCGAGGGAAGGGGACAGGGAAAGAGAGAGATGGGGGTAGGGGGGAAAAGAGGCAAGGGGAAGAGACGGGGGCTGGCAGAGGTGAGGGGAGAGCAGGCAAGACCAGGGCTAGGGTTCCGGGGTGGGTGGAGAGAAAGCCTTGGAGAAGCAAGCAGGCACTGGGTCAGGAAAGCCAAGAGAGGGGCAAGTACAAAGAAAGGCAAGGGCAGCAGTAACCTGTGCTGCGGAGAGAGGGGGGAGGGCCAGGACGAGGCGGGGGGTGGGGGGCTGCGGGGCTGTAGCTCTGCTGTCCTGGTGCCGCCTCCCTCCCGTGCTTGAGGACTTTGCACCAGCCACCTGGCCTCCTGGCTCTTTCTGGATCTTAGCTTGCAGCCTCCTGCCCTAGGACCTTTGCATAGATTGTTCCTTCTGCCGGGAATGCTCTTCCCCCCGCCCCCATACACACATGGCTCACCCCTTGGCTTCCTTCAGGACGTTTAAATGTCTCCTTCTCAGCAAGGCCTATGCCGGTTACCCCCTTTCAAAACTGTAGCCCGTTCTGCATGCCTCCCCCCCGCCGCCGACCATCACCATGCCCCTTAGCCTGTGTTATACCACCTTCTAACATCCTATAACAGGAGTCATTTAACATGTGTATTGTCCATCTCATCCCATGAGAATATAAGTTCCATGAAGGCAGGGATTTGGGGTCTTTTTTGGTAGTCGTTGAATCCCCAGTACCTGGGACTCTGCTGGTACATAGCGGGAGCTCAATAAATATGTTGGATGAGCAAGTGCTCTTGTGCTGAATATGGACAATCTCTGAAGATTATATAAAGAATAAGTGAAACAAACCCCTGATGTAACTATATTGTACTGATTTACTTCTTGGGAAAGTGAAGAACAGCAGAAAATTCTGATCACTGAGGGTTCTGTTCAGTTGAGCTCCAATGAAGAAGACTTTTAGCTAACTCGGGACTTTAAGGGTCTCAAGACAAGCTCATTGGGGTAAACCGCTTTTTCTTGATGCCTCATTTTCTCTAGAATTGGCTGTGCAGTGGTTGTCAACAGCGACAGCTGGACATTAGCTGCTGAAGGGGGTGGTAGGTCATGGGGATGACAAGTCTGATAGAAAGGGACAAGGACAGAAATGTGTGGTTTGTGATGGAACATTGTTTTTTGTTTGTTTGCTTGTTTGTGGTCAGAGTACAAAGAGTATTGCATCTGATTTTGAGGGAGATTTAAACCAGCTTAAATGTGTGTGTTATATCTATATAACTTCCCCAGTCGAAATCAGAATAGAATATTTTTGAAGGGCTTTTAAAGAAAGCATGTGCTTCCTCTGGAGAACTTAAATTGGTACGTCACTCAAATACTTCAGTACCCATGGATTAGAGAGTTGACGAGAAAAAGATCCCCAGTAGTCTTTCAACGCATTGTTCATATATGGGAACAACCCTCTAATTGTAGTTGGTTAGGCTAAATGTGTGTGGAAAAATATACTGTCATCTCGTTTGTCTGGAATAGATTGAATTTCCTCGAACACTCAAGCATATCTGTCTTTAAGATGATTTAAAAATCACTCTAGGTGATTAACAGCATCCTCGTCTCTATCCTGAAACCTATGGATTCCTGGAAAGCTGGTGCCCTCATCCCCGTTTGGACCTTAATTTTCTATAGCAGGCTGGCTTGTGGGAGAGACCGCTTTACCATTTTGGTACTATAATCGCCTTTATTTAAATGTTTCCCTGTTAAAGGTGGCTCAAGCAGCTGTCCCTGTTAGGAGTTTTGATTTTTTGGCGTTCTTTTTCCTCAGGGGGAGCGCGGCCACAGCAGGTCCTATCTGGTGGTGAGCGGCTGTCATGATCTCGACAGCCCCGCTCTACAGCGGCGTGCACAACTGGACCAGTTCTGACCGGATTCGCATGTGTGGCATCAACGAGGAGAGGTGAGGAGGCTGGGAACGTGGCTGTTGCTGGCTCCCAGTGAGCGGTCCCTACTCACCAGAGGGGCAGCTGCAGCAGGGCCCTGGGAGGGACCCCGGGGGAAGAGGCTTTGGTTGTTTCCAATTTTCCTGGGATGGGATGGAGCTGGGGCCGTATGAGTGGCCTGCCCTGCCATGCTGTCCCTGTTCAGATGAAGGTGAGGAGGCCAGCAGATGACCTTTTGCCAACTAACATTTGTCTACTCATTAAGAACTGTCAGACTGTGGAGTAAGGGGAAGCTCAGGCGATTGCAATTTTTATTTGCTGCATCCATGTTCGGTGCTCAAGGATACGCACAAGATATTTTTGGTCCTTGATCTAAGCCTGGAAGAAAGGCAGTTTTATTATTCAGCTGTATACTGGGAACTGTTAGTGGGTATTCTGGTGATCAGCGCTTTCCTGCCTCACGAGGCTAATGACGATTCGCAGTGCGATCCTTATGAAGTATCTCAGGAAGAGCCAACTGCTTAATGTAGTTGTCATACGGAACTGAGAGTTGGTGATGCCTACCTAATCCGTGTGTGTTTTAAATGTTCTGTTCACCAAAATATTTGGTTGACCAAGCTCTGCCATTTACTGATCATGCCCCGTAGGAAGGACACCCAAAATGGCCTTCAGATTTTATATTTTTGACTCTCATGACCTTTGGCCAAAGAAAGAGCTATGTGTGATGGTTGCAGTGCCTCTCTCGTTTTTAGAAAAGGCATGCTTGCTGGTGTTCAGCTGTTGTTTCAGTCCATCGACTGTTTAAATTCCAATGCATCAGATCAGTCCCCTAGAACGTGGAACGTTTGCCCGGGATTCAAATCCGGTGTTTTCCTTGGGTGAATCTCGGAAGTGTGTGCGTAGCTGTGTGTGCATGTGGGAGAATGTGTGTTTTGTGGGTATCTTCTTTTAACTTCTGCCCTTAACAGGAGAAGTGTGTACTTGTCTGAGGTTCGGGTTAGGAGAAGAGACCTTTTTTTTTTTTTTAAAGCCATTAGTGCCTAATAGTTTAATGTTCTCTATACTGAGGAACAAGTTAGGGACAGACTTAAAAGGAATTTGATTTTAGAATATAAAAGTCAGGACTAAGGAAAATAAGACAGAATTCCTCTCAGAGTTGCATAAGAAAGATATTTTCCTTTGCATGTGAGGTATGGCCTTAGGTAATGACCAAGAGGGGGACTAGGGAAAGGCAGGGTGGTAGTATTGATTTGCGTAAGCATTCACCTGTAACTTGGCAACTCGTTATAGGCAGTTGAGCCTTGGGTGCAGAGATCTGGACTAGAGCCTTTAACAAATCAGTGCACAAGCTGCCTTGGTTCATTGTCCATTCTTATTCCCTGCTGAGAAAGAAAGGCCCCAAACCCGCCTTTCTTTCTTTATGGACCTTTCTTGGGATGTTAAATTACCAAATATGCCTAGTGGTTAAGATGACCTTTTAAGCATTGTCACTTCTGATCTCATCTACCCTTTATTGTCGCCTTCCTCTAGTCTAGGCCATGCTAGAGCTGCTTTCTGAAACGTGATCTCACCTTATTTAAAAACCATCTTCCTCAGCCCTTTACAACTTGTAGAACTTAGACATTTCGGGTGTAAAGCTGCACATGGGGGTTAACTCTTAAAACTGTTTGAGAAACCTGCCTGACATCATTAGATGCAGTTGAGGACCGATGCAGTTGCAGGGACAGGGGCTTTCTGCGGGCCCCAGGTGGCTGACTGTAGTCACACCTCTGGCTAACTTTCTCTGTTTTCTCGCTTGCTTGCTTCCTTTCTTGTATCCATTCATTCCTTCATTCAACCAACATTTACTAAATCCAGCAAGAGCAAACCAACAGTCACGGGACGCTGATGGTGAGTGCTATAGAGTGGCACGCACAGGCCCTGTGGGAGTCTAGATGCAAAAATGGTAGACTTCCTGGGGGAATAAGGGAAGGCTTTCCAGAGGCAGTGACATCTGAGCTGGTGGCTTGAGGGATGAGTAGGAGTTTGAGGTGAGGGTTGGCATGTCCCACACAGTATGTTTGGGGAAGACCCTGGCTGGAATGAAGGTGGTCTTGGGGTGCGGTGGGGCTCAGGCAGGGAAAGTCTGCAGGGGCTGGAATATAAGGAGCCTGATGTGTGTGGTGTGGTCAGAGCCCAGTAGGCACTGAAAAAGCTCTGGTTTGACAGTGGTGCTAGCCCTTCATAATTAGGAAAACAGCCCTGAAAGGTTATCACCATTTCTGGTTTAAGTTCAACAAAGCCTGAAGCGCAACAGCCCAGGGTCATCTCTGCTGGGAAGAAGTGGTGGGATTGATTTTCAGTCCTGATTGAAGCCTGCTTTGACCCCTGCTCCCTCCTCCCTGCTGCCTGCACCCTCCTAACCTTGCCTGGTTGACCCACTTCTCTTTGTGCACCCCTCCCCTGCAAGCTATTCCTGTCCCAGGCTCCTCTCTCCATGGAGCAATTTAATGTTTGCTTAGCTTTGCACACCCCTCTCCTCAGAGAATTTGAAACATGGCCACACGATGTTTTCCCAGAGCCTTGGGGGCTGGCACTCGGGCCTGGGCATGGCTGGGGTAGCCGGGACTGCTGCTTCCGTTGCCGCTGCCACCCGCAGAGTCCCTGGGCCGTGGGCTCTGTGGGTCTGCCTTGGAGGCAGGTGGCAGGCTTTCTGCGTTCAGTTCAAGGTGATTTTATGTGGGGTGGGAGCCCAGCAAGGGCAGCTTGCTCCCCTCCATGTGGTCAGGAGAGGAAAGAACGGAAATAGCTAACATCTTTCCCCTGCAGCCCCTCAGGTGGGGGTTGGTGTAGTGGGGGGGCAGTGCCCCTCGTTCCCCTTGCCACTGCCCTCCTCCCAAAGCCCTGCTGGCTGGTCTCATTGGAACATGCTTCTCCCCAGCCCAAGGCTGGTGTAGGGCTGGCTTTTCCCGTCTCCCAGGAGCCGATGTCCAAGTATGTTTTCCCTTTCCCTCAGGGCCCCCCTTCCTCCTGTTCCTCGAGACCCCTGACTGCCTCTCCAGCCCTTGCCTGTCCTTACAGTCATCTCTGTTTGTCACCAGCAGTCATTGCCAGCGGTAGAACCCTCCCACTTCTGCCAGCCTAGCTGCCTTTTAAAGGGAAAAGATCTCCAACCCCCTCCCCCAGTTGGTCCCTCCTGGAGCCCTGGAATGGGAGGGAGAGGCCTGCGGTGATCTCCCTTGTCTATTTTGCTTCTCTTGGCCCAGGTACAATTTTGGAGACCATCAGTGGTGCCCTGTTCCAGTGAGAGGGTGGGAGTTAGCAGGACCCTCCCCATTTTTGTGGGGGTGGGCTGCAGACTCCCAGACTGTCCTAGGCTAGGGTGGCTGGTGAGGCAGGCGCTAGCTCCTTCTCGGGCTGCTGTCAAGCCGAGGGCGAGGAAGAGGAGCAGACTCCGAGGTGGTCCACTTCCCCCGAGGTGCACAGAGCATTTCTGTGCTTCTCCCCCTCAGAGCTGCAACACAGGGCTTCTGCTGGAGCTTTATTCTTCTACCCAGACCTTCTACTCAGCCACTCACCTGGGCTCTTGCCCCAGTGGTGTCCTTCCTTGGGCAGACAGTGGTGGGTTTTTGCTGTACCCAAAAAACTGAACTTCTGGTGGGTGTTTGTCCTCTCCTCAACTTCACTCTCCTAGTCTTTTTAACCCCCTAAGGGTCTTCCTAAAAACCTGGAGAAGACTTTTGGAGCAGGTTGGGGTTCAGTTAGGTTTTCCTCCTTTGAGACCCAGCTCTCTGGCCTTGAGCCCTTCCCTTTGCAATATACCAACTTGAATTTGGGGTCTGTGGCCTTGAAGGCCTCCCTTTGGGATGGGAGTGAACGTGGTGGTGCTGAGAGAACAAGGGGAGTGTGGGGGGCTGGCGGGGCATGGGATGCAGGCAGGAGGGCAGGTGCTGGCTGGAGCTCGGTGGTACTTCAGGATAGGGGAAGAGGTACCCTGGAGGGAAAGAAGTCGTGCCCTTGAAAATGCCCCTCAGCACCCAGTGACCTGGTGGCCTCGAATCAGTATCATTATATATGCTAATAAATGTGTATCCGCTCTAGGCAACCCCATCAGGTGAATAGGTGATGATTCAGATTTAGAACATGACACACAATGGAGGTGGCTATTTGTTTTAGAAAAGGATTACCCTCATGATACCTGCAGCCAGCTTCCCTTATAGACTTAAAATAAGATTGCACTTAAGAGAAAACTGGTTTGCGTGCGTTTTGAGATCTTCTGCCTTTTGGCAATGCCCAGTACCTCCTGGATGGTCACCTTGATAGGTAAGCTTGGGACAAAGCGAAAGTGCTGGGCCATCCTCCATGTTCCTGGTGAGAGCCCCAGAGAACAGGATACACAACCCAAGGAGGGGAGTCTAGTCAGACTGGGCTCCTTTGCAGGAATTTGCAAAGCTGGGCTTGGAGGCTCCGGCTTGTGACCTGTCCCCCCGCAATTCCTTGTGATTTCCTCCAAGCCACCAAGGGAGGTGGTTTTATGGGAACCAGGGCAGGCAGGAGGCGTTCTGCCGAAGGTAGTGGTGGCCCAAAGACTAGGCCTCATGGCCCTTCTCTGGTTGTGTCTCCCATGCTAGAAGAGCACCTCTTTCTGATGAGGAGTCCACGACAGGTGACTGCCAGCGCTTTGGATCTCAGGAGTTTTGTGTCAGCAGCAGTTTTTCCAAGGTAAGGGGCCATGTGGCGCCACATGTCACCCGGCAAAGGGCAGAGCTGATGTGCCCAGTCTGCCCTCCCAAGAAGGGGGGCAGGAAGGAATGGGGTATTTCCCAGGAGTTGCTGTATGTGAGACAGAAATTGGGCGAGTCACAAAGCGGGCCCGCCGCTGCCGCCCCGGGCCTCGGGACGCGTGCCCCGGCCGCAGAGAGCTTAGCTAAGATGGGCACGCTGCTCTGTCGTTGCAGGTGGAGCTCACGGCAGTTGGAAGTGGCAGCAATGCCCGGGGGGCAGACCCAGATGGCAGGACAGCGGAAAAACTTGGGCACAAGTCAGAAGACAAGCCTGACGACCCCCAGCCACAAATGGACTATGCTGGGAATGTGGCCGAGGCCGAGGGCCTGCTGGTGCCACTGAGTGGCGCCGGGGACGGCCTCGCGCTTTCTGCTGCTGACGGCGCCGCCGAGGCTGGCGACAGCACGGCCGACTGCTCCTGGGCTCCCCTCAGCACCCAAATGAGCAAGCAGGTGGACTGCTCAGCAGCAGGGGTGAAGGCTCTGGACTCTCGGCATGGCGTGGGGGAGAAGAATACTTTCATTCTGGCCACTCTGGGAACTGGAGTCCCTGTGGAGGGAACCCTGCCTCTGGTGACCACTAACTTCAGTCCGCTGCCAGCACCCATCTGCCCCCCTGCTCCCAGTTCGGCTGCCGTCCCCCCGTCTGTTCCGGATCCGTTCCAGGTTCCCCTCTCCGTCCCCACCCCGGTGCCCCACTCTGGGCTAGTTCCCGTCCAGGTTGCCACTTCGGTTCCAGCCCCTTCCCCTCCCTTAGCCCCAGTCCCGGCTCTGGCCCCGGCACCGCCATCAGTGCCCACGCTCATCTCTGATTCGAACCCCCTTTCAGTTTCGGCCTCAGTCCTGGTGCCCGTGCCAGCTTCGGCTGCCCCCTCGGGGCCCGTTCCCCTGTCGGCTCCAGCCCCTCCCCCCCTCTCAGTCCCAGTTTCAGCTCCTCCCTTGGCTCTGATCCAGGCTCCCGTGCCCCCTTCAGCTCCAACCCTGGTCCTCGCGCCTGTCCCCACACCAGTTCTGGCCCCCATGCCGGCGTCCACGCCTCCAGCGGCTCCCAACCCTCCGTCAGTGCCGATGCCCACCCCGACTCCGTCCTCCGGCCCGCCCTCCACCCCCACCCTCATCCCTGCCTTTGCTCCTACACCGGTGCCCGCTCCCACCCCGGCCCCGATCTTTACTCCAGCCCCCACGCCCATGCCGGCGGCCGCACCAGCTGCCATTCCCACCTCTGCGCCCATGCCAGCCTCCTTCAGTCTGAGTCGAGTATGTTTTCCTGCAGCTCAGGCACCAGCTATGCAAAAAGTTCCCCTGTCCTTTCAGCCAGGGACAGTACTGACCCCAAGCCAGCCGCTGGTATATATCCCACCTCCAAGCTGTGGGCAGCCGCTCAGTGTGGCCACACTGCCAACCACCTTGGGGGTCTCCTCCACTCTTACACTGCCTGTCCTGCCTTCCTACCTTCAGGACAGGTGTCTCCCTGGTGTGCTGGCCTCCCCAGAGCTCCGGTCTTACCCATACGCGTTTTCTGTGGCCCGGCCTCTGACTTCAGATTCCAAGCTGGTCTCTCTGGAGGTGAACAGACTTCCCTGTGCGTCCCCATCCGGCAGCACCAGCACCCAGCCTGCGCCCGATGGGGTCCCCGGGCCTTTGGCAGATACTTCCCTCTCTACTGCTTCTGCCAAGGTGCTTCCAACCCCACAGCCTTTGCTGCCAGCCCCCAGCGTGAGCTCGGCCCCACCGCACCCCGCCAAGGTGCCAGGTGGTAGCGAGCAGCAAACAGAAGGGACTTCCGTCACCTTCTCTCCCCTCAAGTCTCCTCCACAGCTGGAGCGAGAGATGGCCTCTCCACCTGAGTGCAGCGAGATGCCCCTCGACCTCTCCTCCAAGTCCAACCGCCAGAAGCTTCCATTGCCGAACCAACGCAAGACGCCTCCCATGCCCGTGTTGACCCCCGTGCACACCAGCAGCAAGGCCCTCCTCTCCACGGTCTTGTCTAGGTCTCAGCGCACAACCCAGGTTGCTGGTAGCAATGTCACCTCATGCCTAGGCTCCACTTCCTCGCCCTTCGTCATCTTTCCCGAGATCGTGAGGAATGGAGACCCGAGCACCTGGGTGAAGAACTCAACTGCGCTGATCAGCACCATTCCTGGCACCTATGTGGGAGTGGCCAACCCAGTGCCTGCATCCCTGCTGCTGAACAAAGACCCTAATCTGGGCATCAACCGAGACCCCCGCCATCTCCCCAAGCAGGAGCCCATCTCCATCATCGATCAAGGAGAGCCTAAGAGCACCGGTGCCCCCTGTGGCAAGAAGGGCAGCCAGGCTGGGACTGAGGGACAGCCAAGCACAGTCAAACGTTACACCCCAGCCCGCATCGCCCCTGGGCTGCCGGGGTGCCAAACCAAGGAGCTCTCTCTCTGGAAGCCCACGGGGCCAGCAAATATTTACCCACGGTGTTCAGTCAATGGGAAACCCACCAGCACCCAGGTCCTGCCTGTTGGCTGGTCACCATACCACCAAGCGTCTCTGCTTTCCATTGGCATTTCCAGTGCCGGGCAGCTGACCCCCAGTCAGGGGGTGCCCATCAGGCCCACCAGCGTTGTTTCTGAGTTTTCTGGTGTGCCGTCTCTTGGCCCCAGTGAAGCTGTGCATGGACTTCCTGAGGGGCAGCCACGGCCTGGGGGCCCCTTTGCTCCAGAGCAGGACACTGGCACAAAGAACAAAAGTTGCCGGATTGCTGCCAAGCCTTATGAAGAACAAGTCAACCCTGTCCTCCTGACTCTCAGCCCTCAGACAGGGACCTTGGCGCTGTCTGTCCAGCCTAGCAGTGGGGACATAAAAGTGAATCAGGGGTCTGAGGAATCAGAGAGCCACCTCTGCCCCGACAGCACTCCGAAGATGGAAGGTCCCCAGGGGGCTTGTGGCCTGAAGCTGGCAGGAGACACGAAGCCTAAAAACCAAGTGCTGGCCACCTACATGTCCCATGAGCTGGTCCTGGCCACCCCCCAGAACCTGCACAAGATGCCCGAGCTGCCTTTGCTACCTCATGACAACCACCCCAAGGAACTTATCTTGGATGTGGTCCCGAGCAGCAAGAGGGGCTCCAGCACAGAGCTTTCACAGCTTGGAAGCCAGGTGGACCTGGGGCGGGTGAAAATGGAGAAGGTGGATGGTGACGTGGTCTTCAACTTAGCCACCTGCTTCCGGGCCGATGGCCTCCCAGCAGCTCCCCAGAGGGGCCAAGCTGAAGTTCGGAATAAGGCCGGGCAGGCCCGAGTGAAACAGGAAAGCGTAGGTGTCTTTGCTTGCAAGAACAAGTGGCAGCCAGACTCGGTGGTGACCGATGGGGTTACCGAATCTCTGCCACCCAAGAAGATGAAGTACGGCAAAGAGAAGGATGGTGAGGAGCAGCAACCACAAGCCAAGGTCACAGCTCGGAGTTCCCATGGACCCAAGGTGAGTGCGGGGCTGAGGTCCAGGGCAGGGCCCGCACACCGGAGGTCTGCTTTATCCTGCAGATGTCAGCCTCCCGCGGCTGTGTTCTTGAGTAGCTCTGTGAACTGAACTCCTTGGAAGGCTTGTGCAAAGTGAATAATGACCTGCTGTCCCCTTTCTGAGTCCCGTTGTCCATATATGGTGTTTTAGCACGAGGAGGGGCTGGCTTGTATTTTTTAGGATGTGGGAAATGATTTGGTCCCTGAGGCCAGGGAAGCCATTGTCCCAGATGAGGTTGGAGAGCGGAAGAAGAGATTGACGAGGGAAATCAATTAATAACAGGCCCTTCCCCACGTAACCATTCTTCCTTTTCCTTTTCTGAGATGACTGCTGGCCTTGAGAACTTGGGATTCTCAACAGGGTCGTTCTCTGCACCACTGGGGGAGCCTGCTCAGGATATGCTTGGAGTTTTGTGGGGCCGAAGCCAATTCGGCTTCTGGGCTCATCCACCAGTTTCCTATCCGTCCAAGTGCTTGGGGTGGCAGCTTTGTGTTTAGGCCCACTGGGAATTTGGTGTGCAGGGCAGGTGGGCATCTGGGTCCGGGTTCTTAACAGTGGCAGGGATCTAGGCAAAAAGGTGGGCCAAGAGGATTCAACTTGAATCCAGTGGTGTTCCAGAGGGGATCCAGAAGCCGCTGGTGATCCAAGGAGATTCTTGAAGCAGTTGAAGATAGGTCTTCTCAAAAATGTGGAGCAATTTAGGGGCACCTGACGGGCTCAGTCAGAAGAGCATGTGACTCTTCATCTCGGGGTTATGAGTTCGAGCCCTGCGTTGGATGTAGAGATTACTTAAGTAAATAGAAAACTTTTTAAAAATAGGGAGCAATTTGAAGTTACGTTAAGAAGCCTTCAAATTGAATGTTTTTTTTAAAGATTGTATTTATTTAGGGGCACCTGGGTGGCTCAGTCGGTCAGGAGTCTGCCTTCTACTCAGCTCATGATCCCAGGGTCCTGGGATTGAGCCCAGCATCGAGCTCCCTGCTTGGTGGGGAGCCTGCTTCTCCCTCTCCCCGTGCCCCACCTGTGCTCTCTCTCTCTCTCTCTGTCAAATAAATAAATAAAATCTTTAAAAAAAATTTAGAAAAAGATTGTATTTATTTATTTGAGAGAGAGGGGGGTGAGGGAGAGCAAGGAAGGAGAAGCAGACTCCCTGCCGAGCAGAGAGCCCTGCTGAGCAGAGAGCCCGATCTCAGGTCCGAGATCATGACCTGAGCCGAAAACAGATGCTTAACCGACTGAACCACCCAGCCACCCCATTTTTTTTCTGGCTGCTGGTTGCAATATTTTATTTTTTTATAAAGTTTTATTAGAATGCAGCTCCCATGTTTTTTTTTTTTTTTTTTTAAGATTTTTCATTTTCGGGCGCCTGGGTGGCTCAGTTGTTAGGCGTCTGCCTTCGGCTCAGGTCATGATCCCAGGGTCCTGGGATCGAGCCCTACTTCGGGCTCCCTGCTCCACAGGAAGCCTGGTTCTCCCTCTCCCTCACCCCCTGCTTATGTTCCCTCTCTCGCTGTCTCTTTCTCTGTCAACTAAATAAAATTAAAAAAAAAAAAGATTTTTCATTTTCAATTTGAATGTTGATATACACTAATGAACAGATATCTAGCCAGAGTACAATGAATTTGGGTTTGTGGTGGAGGCTCTTAGTCTTTTTTGGACCGTAGAGCATTTTGGGAAACTGTAAGACCCTGTCCACAGAAACATGACCTCAGAATTTTGCCAGTAATTTCAAGGAGTTCATGGGCCCACCCCCTCCACAAAGCCCGCCCTTGGGCTCCAAATTAAGAACCCTAGGGATAGAGTTTGAGTGGGTTTTCTCAATGATCTCACAGCCACCTCTGTATGGCAGAGACATGCCAAGTAAGAACACAGGTCATGACATAGTAGAGCATATATATATAGCATTTGCTCAAGTAACTGTGATTTGTCCTGGGTGGTAATAAGAATAATAGTTCATGTTGTTACATGTACTGTATGCTATACACAAGCAGACACACACACACATAGCATATATACTATATGCCAAGTGCTTTCTACAGATGTCATCTAACTTAATCTGTACAATAACCCTATGAGGTGAATGCTATACCCAATTTACAGATAAGAAGATGAAGGAAACAGACTGAATGGGCAAGTTACCCAAAGTTACCCAAAGTTACACAGCTACTAAATGGCAGAGCTAGAACTCAGACTCTGGTCATTGGCTCCAAAGTTCATGTCCATCTTCAGCTGTTGCCACCCTGTCTTCTACTCTCCTTATGTATAACTGTCTCACTGGCCATTTGGCAAGTGTTTATTGAGTAGTTACTACGTGCTAGTCCCCCCCAGGCGTGAGCTACATCTCCAGGCGGGTGGTACAGCATTGTGGTGAGGAGGATGCTTTGCGGAGCCGGGCACAGTGCCCACGTTTAAGTCTTGGTCCTGCTTTTTCCTAACTGTGTGCTATCGGTCAAGTGACTTAATCTCGCTGGCCCTCAGTTTCCTCATATGTACAATGAGACTATAATAGTACCTCTTCCATAGGGCTGTGCAAAGATTAAATGAGATGATGTCGTGAAGTGTCCAGAATAGGCAAATCGATAGAGATAGAAAGTAGAATCGTGGTTGCCTAAGGCTGGAGGAGGTGGGGAAATGGGGATGGGGCTTCCATATGGGGCAGTGAAAAAGTTCTGGAACTCCATGATGGTTATATGACTCTGCAACTGTACTAAAAGCAATGGAATTGTAAACTTAATCAAATGAATTGTATGGTATATCTCAAAAAATTACATGTCACTAAAACTGTTGTTAATAAAAAGTGAATGAGGTGATATATATGAATGCTTAGAACAGTGCCTGGCAGGTAGTAAGTGCTCAGTAAATGTTCGTGGCTGCTGGTTGTTATTGTTAGTATTACTAACAAAATAGACATGCTCCCTGCTCTCATGGAGCTTATGTCTTGCAGGCGACCTAATGACAGGCAGGCACTGCCCTTTACTCTATTAGATGAACAGTTCACTGGGCCCACTGACAGATGCCGAGGGCAGAGAATAAAGCTATGAGATCGGGGGCCTTGCAGCAGCCCTTCGCAGCTTCCTGTAGTGATTTAGCAAATGTCCATTTTGGGGGGAGAGTAAATAACTTAGATCTTTCTTTTCTTATCTCCCATTTTTCCGGAGAAAGAAACTGTTGATAAGCAAAGTCAGATCAGGGCTTAATTCAAAACAGCCCCTTTCAGGGTATGGCCAAGAATCAGAATAGTCTCCTGTCCCCTACACCACCTGCCCCAAGGCCTCATGGAATCCTGAAGGGCTGGCTGAATCATCAGCAAAGAAAGAGTTCTACTTCATCTGGTGCTGGGTATATTTTATTGTCTTCTCATCCTTTGGAAAATTCCTTGGAAAACCTTTCAAAACTCTGTTAACCAGAACATTCATCTTACACGGTCTCCCCATCCACCCAACTTTTTGCCTAAGTTGGAGCATGCAAATACATTTTTACTCTCGGTGCTGCCCTTGCAGAACATTTGGACAGAAATCCCTTCTAGATGTTCTGTTTTACTTGTTTTTGACTATCTTAGGAAATAAAAGTTAATGATCTGCACTTGAAAGAGCCAGCTAAAAGTGATATTCAGAAATAAATAGGACATGATCAGATTTATGTGCATTTAACTTTATTCCCCCTGACTTCAAGTAGTCTTTCTCTGGCCATTCCTGAAGGTGAGCTTTTAAGCAACAGTTCCCCATCTTTCTTTCCTCCCCCGTTCTTTCTTTTTCCTAACACTTTGATTTGTAGGAACCAGCAACAAAGGGGGCAAAGGGGGCAACTGAACTTGAATTTTTAGCTCAGCCCTCTGCTGAGTAAGAAGCAGGAGGAGATCACAGTTTAGGAGGAGTCCTGGGAATTTGGTGGGGAATGGTCACTCCCTATCCCTGGGGAATTGACACACACACACACACACACACACACACACACACACACACCCCAACACCCTGGAAAATGTTCTATTGATAAGATATCGGGTATCCCCTTAGCTGGAGCTAGACAGTGATAACCTTCTAGGAGGTGCATGTGGGTCTGCTTAGGGGGAAAACAACTCTTCCTTTCTTCCTAGGGCCTGCTTTCATAAAAAAATTAAAACGTTTTGCTTATTTTGCACTCCCTGGATGCTAGAAACCTGGAAATCCCTACCTTGCCCTATTTCTTGTTTGGTGGCATGGAGAGACCTCAAAGCTTGTGAGCGTATGCGGCTGTGAGGCTGGGAGTGTCCTTGTGCTGTGTAAGCACGGCCAGTGTGCCTATCCAAGTGAGCGAGTGAGCGGGGCTGAGCAAAAACAGTGGAGGACGCGAGTGGGGAAGGAGAAGAGTGAGAACTGCTGCAGAGAGAGGCCCAGGTGGGGAGCCAGGAGCCCTAGGTCTCAGTCCCAGCTCTGCCACTTTGTCACTGCAGGCGCGCATGAGCTCATTTGCAGATTTGCCTGGGAAGTGGCAGGCGCCCCCCAGCGCGCGCGGACTCCCGGGGCCTTGTGTTGCCCTGGACAAAGCATTTAACCTCTAGTCTTGGAGCCTCAGTTTCCTGGTCTGTGCAGTGGGGATGATATTAACTTCTGCTTTCGGGGTTGTCAGGAAGATCAAATCAAATAACAGAGAAGAGAACATTTTGAGACGTTGAAAGTACTGCAGAGTATCAAATGGCATTATTAATAATGCCTCGGCCTTTTCCTTGTCTTCCTTAAGTGCAGGCCAATGTGAGTTGCTCCCGTGTCATGCCTTTCTTCTCGCCTTCGTTGAATCTATTACACATGGAAATAGACCGTTTTTCTTGAGTTGACCCAGGCTAAGGATTGTTTTCAGTTGTTGGTGTCTGTACCATTTGCACTGAAGGTATTTGGCCAGTGTGGTCACCCGACTTGCCAAAGAGGTGTTTCTGTTTGCTACCTGTCTCTATTGCTGTTTGGATGTAGAGAACACGGGCCTGACTTTGCACCTCTGAAAATGACTTTGGGTATTGATGTGGCCTGTGAATGCAGCCTCCATAGACCTGTAAAAATGATGGCGTGTGGATGTCTGTGGAGATTAGTTAGGGCACAGGGTTCAGGCCCAGAAAGCCCTGCCCCGGGCCCCCACCTGGGCTCTGAGCTCTGTCCGTGTGTCAGAACGGGGCCCCGGACTTAGCATTGGCAAAGCTTTCTTAAGAAGAGAAACTGATCTCAGACTTGACTCTCTCTACCTCTCCACAGTGCCGGAAGCCGCCTAGTGACCCCCAGGAACCCACCAAGAAAAGCCCCAGGGGGGCTTCAGATTCAGGAAAAGAGCACAATGGAGTCAGGGTAAAGCACAAGCACCGGAAGCCAGCAAAGCCGGATTCCCAGTCTCCAGGAAAGCGAGCCGATGGCCACGAGGAAGGTAGGCTCCTCAGTTCCTCGCCCTCTGGGCTGGGCTGCAGAGGGATCCCCGTGGCAGGTCAGTGGCAGGTTGGGGGGTGGGGGTAACTCTGCACTGCCCAGAATAGTGAGACTTCCTCATTATGGAAAGAAGATAAAATTGACACCTCTGAAATCAAAGGCAAGGGAGAATGGGGCTTATTCTGTTCACCCTGGTCACTAGAAATAAGGTATGCTCTGAGGGCCAAAGAGGGTGGTTTTCAGACAAACAAAAGTCAGTCCTGCGACAGAGTAGCCAACCCATTACCCTGCCACGGGTCTAGGCTCAGAAAAGAAATGGGGTTCGTGAGGACTGAGACCAAAACAGCAGGACGGGGTTCATGACACATGTTTTTCTACCTTTGGTATAGTCGAAAACTCCCATTATAAAAAGTTAAAAAATTAATACCCAGCGAGCTAGCCGGAAGCATTTAGGAAAATCCTGAACCCTTATTATCGAGGGACATGCAGTATGTTTGGAGTAGGGAGGTGTGTACTTGACCTGTGTGCTCTGCCACGCTAGTTCCTTGGTGCCCTCATCAGAGAGAGGCGCCCACGTGTTCCTGCGCACAGTAGCCTGTTTTCATGGCTTTGCCTGTCTGACCCGACCTGCCTTTTTCTAGTCTGTTCTTATGTGGCAGTTTTCCTTTGTCCACTACTCCCTGCTCCCATCTTCCTGCCTCACCCAGTCCTCTACGATCCATTGAGGTTGCCCTCGTCTGGGACCTGTTCCAGCTTAGTCCTAACTTTGTGGAGGGGCGGCAGCCTCACAGTCCTACAGGCAGCCAGGCCTTCAACTTGCTGGCATGCTGGCGAATTGATTCTGTACACAGCCTTTTTTTTGGTGTCAGCAAAAATGACCCAACTCCCAGTTTTCAAAAACCACCTGGAAGTGCTCCTTCTCTAAGAGATGTACACAGGTGAGAGCAGCCTGAGGAGAGCCAACGAATGCGACCCTGGGAAAGACACAAATCCTCCCTTGATTTTTCCACCCGAGCCTCTCTGGGATGGGGTGGGTGGGGTGTGGGGCTTTCAGTCCTTGGACTCCTGATTGTGATATTTCTCCCTTCTACCCTGAAACCACACGTCACTCCAGGTTCCTTGGAGAAGAAAGCAAAGAGCAGTTTCCGTGACTTCATCCCCGTGGTTCTGAGCACGCGGACGCGCAGTCAGTCTGGTGAGTGAGGCCCAACTTGGCCCTTCTCTGCAGAGAGAGGTAGAAATCTGGTCAAGCGATTTTGCCATTGGTCCAGGTGGAGAGTTGAGACTTTGACTCACCATGCTAAGACGCCCAGCTCCTTGCAAAGACAAGAGAGCCCAGGGTGGGGAGGGGGAAGCACAGCCCACGATGTTAGGACTGCTTGCTTCACTTTTCCAAACAGGGCTTTTCCGAGCAGGGATTTGACATCTCTTGTTGGCAGCCAGTGGTGGGGGGAGGAAAGGCCCGTGCCACTCAGGAAAACTGGCCTACTCCAAGCTTTTGCATCTCGTGGTCAGTGGGGCCAGTCTCAGGCACGGACATGCAACCTTTGGACTTACTGCCCTATGTGACAGGCGTCAACAAAATCGGCAATGGTCGCTGAGTTGTCAGGGCCAGTACAATCGCATTTGGTCCCCTGAATTTGAAGATGGCTCTTTCTATAGCCCCTGCTTTTGCCTGCCAGCCTCCACGTTGGCGTGTAGCACTAGAAGTGGTTGCCCTGCTTCACCCGTATTTCCATGCAGAGTGGCTAGAATGGGGAAGCAGGGCGCAGTGTAAACTCAGCTAGCTGACATTCTATTAACTGGCACCCTCAGCACACGGAGAGCGTGGTGGTAATTGGGGCTCGTAATGACGGCCTGGAGGCCTCGCAAAATCCTGAAGTGTCTTCTGAATCATCAAAGAGTGATTACATTATGCCCAGTCTTGTTTTACTGTTAAACACATTGTACTGTATTTGATTCTTTGGAAATTGGTGATCCCTGTGTGATCTCTCTGGTGATTCTGTATTAACCAGAATATTAGATTAACCAGAACACTTCGTTCCTTGCCTGTCTGTATATGGAAATTTTGCTGGATATTTGCTGTCTTTAAATGGTCTGACTGACTTGAAGCTTTGGTTAAGGACTATTCCTTTTGCCTCAAAACCATTTCTTTCTTCCACTGGCCTCGCTTGTGTTTGGGGATTGTCGAGTTAATAGCGAGTCCTTGGGAGAAGGATGGTGGTGTCTCAGAGCTGCTTCTGAAGAAGATTGTCAGATCTGCTGTTGTGCTAAGCCGCGCCAATTTAGGGTCGTACTTTTGTGGTTAGCAGAGTTATGAAGGAAGGAGTGGGGATGAAAATGTCCTCTTGGCAAGATGGTGGAGGAAGGCAGGAAAGGTACCATTGTGCCGGGGTGCTGGGGAGAGGGGAGGGAAGTGCCTGCCTAGCGGTGAGGAACAGCTGCGGTGGGGAGGAGGGGGGTGTGCAGGGAGAGAGCTCCACCCCTGGACTCTTGGCCACTCAATAGGAGGTGGGGTCAATGGGAGGGAAGAGGGCCTAGTGGAGGAGCATTTGGGTGGGACTAACCCAGGCTGTGTCACAGGAAAGGGACTCCTTGCTTCGCTTTTCCCGAGACTCTTCTTTTGTGATGATTCTGCTTGCCCAGGGTGGCTTTGTCAGTGAGACTGGTGGTCACATAGCGAGCCGGGGCGGGGGTGCCCTGCCGATCTGCCCTCCCTCACCTGCTACTGAACCCTGATTTCCCAAAGGGCAGGGACCTATGGCCCCCTCCTGCTCCTCACATAATGCTTGGCGCCTCGTAAGCACTAAGTAAAAGTTTGTGCAATGAGTTAAAGTCACAGCAACATGGATGAGGAAGGGCGTGTGGCTTGGATACTCGATATTTGTGTGGTATATTGGACTCTGTAAAATGCTTATGGGCGGATTATCTCATTTGAGCCTCAAAACAGTCCTGTGAGGCCAGTAAGGCAGAGAACAGTGTCCCCGTTTTATAGAGGAGGAAACAAAAGTGAAGGAACTTTCCCAGAGCGCACAGCTAATAACTGGCAGAGCCTGAACTTGAACCCAGACCTTCAAGCTTCTAATCCAGGGCACTTGCTTCGACACCATACTCTTTGTCCTTTGAAGAGGTACCTGACCGTCCTCTGTACATCCCGTCCACAGGAAGCATCTGTAGCTCCTTTGCTGGTATGGCAGACAGTGACATGGGAAGCCAGGAAGTCTTCCCCACAGAGGAGGAAGAAGATGTGACCCCCACCCCGGCTAAGCGTCGCAAGGTGAGAAAGGCCCAACAGGACACCCAGTATCGCAGCCACCATGCCCAGGACAAGACTCTGCTGAGCCAGGGCCGCCGGCACCTGTGGCGAGCCCGAGAAATGCCCTGGAGGACCGATGCTGCCCGGCAAATGTGGGACACCAACGAGGAGGAGGAGGAAGATGAGGAGGAGGGCCTGGTGAAGAGGAAGAAGCGGAGACGGCAGAAGAGCCGAAAATATCAGACTGGGGAGTACCTGACGGAGCAGGAAGAAGAGCAGCGGCGGAAAGGGAGAGCAGGTAAGGCTGGCTGGGGATTGCTGCTCCAGTGAGCTGCTATCACTCATCCCCAGGCCACAGTGACTTTGGCTTCTGGGGACCCTCGGGCATCCTGGGTGTTCCCACCTCTGCCTTCTCTTCGCCAGCCGAAGGCCTCTGCACCCATAGAAACCTGGTGCTATGAGCTCCAGCTGCCAGAGGGGGTCACTCAACTCCAGGCCCCAGGCTGTGGCTTGGGGTTCAGATTGAATTGAGTTTGGACTGACCTGCAGGGGAGCGGAGGACGTGAAGGCCCAAGCCCTCCAATTTCATATAAGAGTCTGAACCTCTGGGCAAGGCCACAGTGGCATCCTTGGCATGGGACAACTCGATACCAGGGAGTTCTCTGGTTGGCTTGAGGGAGCTGGCTCTTGGGAGGCTGGGTTCTTTCTCCTAGAATCCTGGGTTCAAGAAGAAAGAGGCATTGGCTGCCTTTCCGGGGATGCCTCCACCCCCTACATTAAAGAGAAGTACCAAGTTTCCTCAACTTAACAGAAGAACTTCAAGTAGAAGCGGGCACAACTTTGCTTTCTCGATTAAAGCTACAAAGGTTCTTAAGAGGCAGAGTGAAGCTTTGAGGTGACCCGAGGTGCCATCAGTTTTGTTGGACCCGAGTTGGAAGAGCAGGCAGACCAAGGAGAAAACCAGGCTTTCTTTGGCTACGTCAGATGCTATAATATATAATCATGGAGGCACAGACTGTCACCAAGGCTAATATCAGTATGTTCTGCTAAGTATTGTTCGGGCCCATTTCTGGGTTTTTTTTGGTGGGGGGCATTTTTATAGCAGATTTCTAGATGAGCAAAAAGTATGTCTCTGGGTTCAATAAGAGCATATTTCTCTCTCACTCTTTCTTTGACCTCTGCCCTTGAAGCAACATTTGATTGTCTCTGATAATATATTTATCCTGTGCTACTGGGAAATATCTACAGTCTCCCTATTATTGAAAACAGAATAGCTGCCTTCTGAGGGGGTAATAGATTCTGGGTTTGCTATAACGCAAACAAGGCTAAACCTCACTTCCAGCTCGGTTTAAGTAGAGATGTATACGATACCGTCCCTATACTGCAGAGGGTAAGGGAGCTAATCTTCATCAACTGTGGGAGAGGGTGGGGATGATTTTCCCTTTTTCCTGCCAGAGCCATAAGGGATTGGTCAAGAATGAGGCGTCAAGCCGTTGGTCTCAGCCACTTGTGTTTGGATGAAGAAGAGCTTTTGTGTCACGCAGTCTTCTTTACCAAGAGCTGGTTCCCTACAAGCTTGGACACTTCCCGTGGAACTTACTGGTTTGGAATCAGAAGGACCTTCGAGGTTACCTGGTTCCATTTTCCACCCAAAGCAGAGATCTCTGTAGCACTGTGGACAGGTAGCTTTTACGTAAACACCCCGGGGAGCATGGAGAACAACTGCTTGGCAAGGCATCCTGTTTGATTTGGGGGCAGCTGCAGCTTTGGAACGTAGGTCATTCTCCCTTCCGTGCGTGTGTCTAAGGGTTTTGAGTCAAGGCTGTTGGCTTTGGCTTACGGTTTGGTTACCTTCCTCCAGATCCGATGGTGACATCTTCATGAAGGGATTGCTTGGCAAATGTCTCTCTTCTCAGGAAAGCTCTGATCCTTCCTATTACTGCCTATCTTTCAGGTTGACATGAGGGAGTCAGGCAAAGGCCAAACTAGACAGGTCACTTACTTCTGTCTGAGCCTCATGACCTTTCTGGTTTTTTAAGGATTTTGTTTATTTATTTATTTGAGAGAGAGAGACAGAGAGAGAGCATGAGTCAGGGTTGGGGGGCGGGGTGGGCAAAGGCAGAAGGAGAGGGAGAAGCAGACTCCCCACTGGGCAGGGAACCTGATGAGGGGCTCCATCCCAGGATGCCAAGATTGTGACCTGAGCCGAAGGCAGATACTTGACTGACTGAGCCACCCAGGCGCCCTCATGACCTTTCCTTTTGTCCTGGACTTTGGTATATCCCTCCTTGACCTGCAGAGGGGATAAGAAGAGCCACTTCCACTTACCCAGCTACTGCTTCCACTCTGTTTCTTTCCGTGCTACTATGAAGTTCTTGCTCCACTGCAGCTGAATAAACTCCAGAGCCTGCCCAGCCCTGGGTAAATGGGATAGGGAGCTGCTGCTTTTCCTGTGGTGGTGAATGCTGTAATATGGCATCCCCATGTTTCCTGAGGTCCTCCCTCACAAGGCACAGTTCTGTTCCTTCCTCTTTTGCCTCAGCCCAGACTTGTTGCATCAAAAGTCCCAGTTTAGAATGTTCTGGTTGGAATTGCCATTAGAAGCCATCTAACACAGCAGTTCTTGGACAGGTGTGAGGACCCACTGGTGGGTTGGGGCTAGTTGGGAGAAAGCGCTGGTATGATAACTGGCCTTCCAAAAGCTGTGCGTAACCCAGAGCCAATTCCTCATACTCTAGTGATGGCTCCCTCATCTGGATTTGCCGTTGGTAATGTCACATGTGAGAACACATGCCACGGTCAAGGGATGGCAGCTAAGAACTCTTGGATCTTGCTTAACTCCCTTGGTTCACAAATTGGAGAAACTGAGGCTGCAGTTACTCATTTCCTAGACATACTGATCTTTTGTCATGTGCTCAGTCCTGTGGGGGAAATAAAGAACACATGGGCATGGCCCTCCCTAAAGAGCTTACACTGCAATAATATGATAAGGATGCCTTCCTCTTTATAACACCTTATAAAGGGGCTTTGTATATGTGACCTCATTTAATTCTCATACCAGTCCTCTGATGTGGAATATACCTTCTCCATTTTACAGACATAGAAACTGAGACTGTGGGAGATTATGTGGGCGATTATGACTTGCCTCAAGCCAATTACACAGCTAGTGGCCAAGCCATGTGACACTAATATTAGTTAAGAGATAAGAGTAAACCCAATCTATCCCCCCTATACCTGAGATTTAGGACTGACCTGTGGGATAAGGCTATTGGCAATGAAGTTCCCAGCGCCACTCAGGGATTCATCTGGAAAGAGCTGTAAGAATCACAACATACTTTTTAAAAAATATATATTTTGTTTATTTTAGATTGGGGGGGCAAGTGGGGGGAGGGAGCAGGAGGGGGAAAGAATCTCAAGCAGACTCCGTGCTAAGCGTGGAGCCTGATGCAGGGCTCCATCCCACCACCCCAAGATCATGACCTGAGCTGAAACCAAGAGTCAGCCGTTTGACCAACTGAGCCACCCAGGCGCCCCTTGAATCACAGCCACACTTTTTGAAACTAGAAAGTGCTTTGTCTAGTGAGCTATGGCTAGAATTAGAGATGTTGCCCAGTGTATCCCAGTGACTTGATTTCCAACCAGGGAAGGCAGCAGGTTTCTGTGACTGTCCATCAGCTAAGTAGGCCCAGGGCACCTTCTGGTTTCAGGGAGTTTCTGTGGCTTCGATCTTGGCGTCCTCAGAGAGTGACCAACCAGGCAGTCAGGTGGGTGGGCAGAGGCAATGAAGGAAGACTTCTCCGTTTACGCCCCACCCCAGTATACTTCATACTTTGCTTCAGCAGAGCTGCTAAATTTGTTTTCATACTAGAATGGAGAAAGAGACAAAGCGGATGGGGGAAAAGCCGAAAAGAAGGTTCTGATTTGCTCTGGGCTATGCGGAAATCCTTTTAAAATTACCCTTATCTTGGGGACAGCCAGCTGGGCCGCCCCCTGCTGGCAGGGCTGGGAGTCGTCACCGGCTTGGGAAGGAGAGACTTTGATGTTGAAGTACAGTGTCCACTTGAGAAGCATTTAGTGGCATTGTCGGCACCACACTAGACACTGATAGCTGATCGTTACACAACTCAGCACCGAGATTCGCCTCCCCAAAGCCTTCTGATTCATTGTAGAGGAAGGCATTGCTTTTCTGTGTTCCATTTCCCTGACATCCATTCTTTCCTGTTTCTTGCCTTCAGATTTAAAGGCCCGTAAGCAGAAGACTTCCTCCCAAAGTTCGGAGCACCGCCTCAGGAACAGGAACCTCCTCTTGCCCAACAAAGCCCAGGGGATCTCGGATTCACCAAACGGTTTCCTCCCAAATAACCTGGAGGAGCCAGCCTGCCTTGAAAATTCAGAAAAGCCATCAGGAAAACGAAAGTGCAAGACCAAGCACATGGCAAATGTCTCAGAAGAGGCCAAGGTGTGTTGCCAGTGAGGGGAGTTTATGGGAAGGAAGCGGGCTAGGGTGGCAGGCTTTCCACAGGCCCCTTGAACAACAGTCATCTGAGTGAGTGAGTGAGTGAGTGAGTAAGTGGATGGGGAGGACCCAATTAGTCATATTTATTAAAGTATTTTGAAGTAGTTCCAGAAGAGTTGGGGGTTAAATGGGACCTAAAGTTATCAGTTAACAATAAGAGTCTGCAAACTCTCAGGTTTGGTTCTTAATGGCTTTTCCTCAACAGCTCTTGGATCTCCTTTGAGTTAGGGAAGAGTTGAAGAATATGGCAGGATGTTAGCCTGAATAGCTTGTTAACATCCAATCAAGAAGCTTTTGTCTGGGTTTAACTCCCTGGAAACCAGTCAGAGAGTTTTCTGAATCAATCAAGGTAGAAAACAACTTGTAGAAGCAAGGATGTTGATGTCCAGACAAAGGTTGCTTGAGGGTAGGCTGAAGGAGTTAGAGCTGCCCTCCCACCGGCAACTCACCAGTTCCTTTGCTTCTCGGGGAAGCAGAGGAGCAGGTAAGTGGGCACTCACCAATCGGTAGCCAGGCCAGCATTCTAGAATCCCTGTTCATAATTGACATCTTTTGGGGGGGTCTGATGTTCACATCATTGGTTTCAGGTTCCACATTATACCATTTGCAAAAAATCACGCGGTCCTCAGTCCTCGGGTGAGCTTTACATTTGAGAGAAGCGAAGGTCCAGGCCCCAATGTCATTGGCAACCAAAAAA